GGGCCTGTCTGCCGTGGGAGGGACCCCAGGCTGGAGCAGGGAGGGGTGGGAGGAGTCCTGCCCTGAGGAGGAAGGAGCGGCAGAGACATCGTGGGATGGACTGACCCCAACCTCCATTCCCTGTCCCCCTGCGCTGCTGGAGGGGAGGAGGCAGAGAAAATTGGGAGTGAGGTTGACCCCAGGAAGAGGGGAAGGGCGGGAGGAAGGTGTTTTAAGATTTGCTTCTATTCCTCATTATTGTACTCTGATTTTGACTGGTAATAAAATTAAACTGATTTCCCCAAGTCCAGTCTGTTTTGCCTGTGATGATAATTGCTGAGTGATTTCCCCTGTCCTCATCTCAACCCAGGAGCCTTTCATTATATTTTCTCTCCTCTGCCCGGATGAGGAGGGGAGCGACAGAGCGGCTTTGGTGGGCACCTGGTGTCCAGCCAGAGTCAACCTACCACAATAAGCAAAACTACTACATTTGGAGCATGATAAAATGAAATGTTTCATTTTTCTCAAAAATTCTCTGCTCATTTCTGGGATGAAATTATTTGTAAACACTTTTGGCCTCCCTGAAAATCCGTCGTTTCACTGAAGTTGCTATTTCTCCAAAAGAATTCATTGGAGTATATTTACTGTTCTTTCCAACTTAATGCTTTCTCCAAAAGCCTGTTTCCTCAATTTCTATGCTGGATTATTAATCCCAGGACCAAAGTGAAACAGAGCCAACATCCACTTTAGCATTGATGTTCCTGGAAAGCTGGACAAGGCTTTTTCCACCTTCTTCACCAGGACGGTCAAGTGTACTAAAGTGACACCTTTTCACAGCATATGGCATGGTCTATGGGATGCTCATTGTCACTTCTCCAAAGCCAAGGGATGCTGCCTTCACACTGCTTCCAGCCTCAGGACAGGAATTAAGAACAGGCACTTGCCAGACTACCTGGTCTAATTGCAGATAACTTGAGTTTTGCCTAGCTGGCAATGAAGCAAAACCCTGTACATCTGTCTTCTGTGCAGTTTTCAAAGGAGCAAGAATGAGAACATGGGTCTTAGCAGAACCATCCCACTGGGGGGAGAGAAGAGAAACATCCAAAGCTGTAGCCCCCTTACCTTGCTTGTCTCCAGTGAGAACCCATATCTTTATGTTGGCTTTGGCAAGAGTCTCGATTGTCTGTGGGACTCCGTCTTGTAACTTGTCCTCAATCGCTGTGGCACCTAGCAGCTTAACAGAAAATGGCAGGGAACTGGTAAGTCTTCCCATTGCTAGCAAAGGAGAAAGCATTAGACCCCTAGGTAATGACTCAAGCAAACACAAATGAATTCCAGGAATAAGGTTGTACTGGTTTTCATTCCTCATCGGCAAATTTACTGTGCAGAGTAGAGCCCTGATCCTGCAAATGTTCTCGTCTCTAATCCCCCAGGCACAGATGGATCATGAACATGCATGAAATTATTTGCCAACATGTTTGCAGACCTACAGGTCTGTGTTCTTGCATGTGTCCCCTTCACAGCAGATAGAGCTTTAACTGAGAGACAAAGATAGCTGTGGATCTGTGTCCCCAAACCTCCATATGCATCCTCCAGCGTGGAGGTTGCTCCCAGCTATATTGTACTGCAGCTATCATAGGGCTCAGTTCTAGGGCCAGTCTTGTTTAATATCTTTTTCAATGACCTGGATGAGGGGATTGAGTGTGCCCTCAGTAAATTTGCAGACAACACCAAACTGGGTGGTAGTGTTGATCTGCTTGAGGGGAGGAGGGCTCTGCAGAGAGACCTGGACAGGCTGGAT